TTAAAAAAAAAAAAAAAAAAAAAAAAGAAGTGCACTGAGATACTGTGGTACTGAGCAACCCTCGTACCAGAGAAGTGCACATCCACATTGATATTTCGAATCCACATTGATATTTCCATAGTCCCTAACCTAAAAATAGGAGGCTGTCAGAGGTTGTGGTGGTCTGAGACCCTAAACCTCAACCCCAAGAGTTACACTCACTACTGGGTTTCAGTCTGTGATCCCAGGGCGGGCTACCTCCGACTGGTCTGGCGGGCCAGGTCCCTGCCAGGTCGCAGATGTCCCCAACACAAAAGAAATAAAAAATTATAAAAAACGGAGAAGCTCTGTCTTGTGTAGACTTGCAATACGTCCTGTTTTTTCTTTGACTTCCTCTATGGAATCTCATGACCTGGCCTTCCAAGCCTTCTAGCATCTGCAGCCTTTAATGGAACCCCACCTGCTATATCCTCTCACGCACATGGTGAGGGTGTCAACTCGCACCAGCCCCATAGGATTGAGGGTCACTTTCGAATTTCCATATTAAATCGAAGATATAATATAAAGTCAAATTAAGGTAAAGCCCGTTTAAATCATCTTCAACCCCAACATAATCCTGTTGGCAGTGTTGGGTTCAATTTCCTGATGACTCTGTGAAGTGTGATGAAACACACGCACATCCTCCGTCTGTTTTTGTGAAGCTGTGTGTATTGAACACGACAGCACGCACACTCCACTGATGGTGAGGGGAACCCTGCAGAGGATGGGGGCTGCCCCATGCCATTGTGGTTCCAACTTCCCAATATGTGGGGAGCCCTCTGCATACACAGTCCAGTTAACATGTGCAACGGCATAATCTCTGCGCTCGACACGAAGAAGGAATGGTCACTGCTAGCCACTGCCGTTGTTGTGCATGCATCCCTCCCACCCCGTTATTACTTGCCCAATATGCCTTTGTGGCCTTGGCATGCTGTACTTGAATAACCCCAAATGCGACCCTGCTTTCCTATGGGCATGTCAGCGACATGCCATGTGTCGGTCGTCAATGTTTTCACCAAAGGTGTCATGACGATCGTCTCTCTATTGCGTGGAGTATCCCTGATCCCATCACCGGTCACATCCTGTCTTCGCATGTCCCACATGTAACACTGGGCATCATCCAGTTGCACCCGTAATTGGATGGTCTCCATCCATGCCAAATGAGGAACAGACACGGCAACCAGCCACCTGAGGTGGAGAATAGACTCTCAGACGAGCCACCTGCAGTGAGGCGTACTGAAAGGTTATATCCGGCAGGCTGAGCAGTTGCAGACCAGATCTTGCAACAGCTGAACACCATTACTTTGGATCAGGGCCCGTCATCGCCTGTCCGCTGCAGAACCCGAGGAAACTTGCTCAATGCTGCACTGTGATGGCCCACCTGAACTTCGGCTAGCACGTGATTGGCATGCTGTGTGTCGTGAGGATTATGAGGGCTGCAAGTCTTCAATTTTGTACATATGATGACAGTCAACATTTGTACCCATGTAGGACTCCCTGACGTGGTATGTCCTATTTGGAGAGTGGCTGCGACGGCAGTGCTTATGCAATTTTGTTCGGCTTGCCTCTGTGTACCTAGCATGTGACATCTGTCTACGCCCTGCCATTTAATGCAGCAACTGTAACTGGGAGAATTGTATAAAGCGCTTCTACAGTCCACACCCAAAGTGGTCCCCTTGCGCTCTGCAGTGGTGGCCGCTTACCGTAGGCAACGCCCGCTACTCAACTCAATTTCCGCTCTGATCCAGACATTAGCAAAAAAGGAATGATAGCAGCTCGGCGTTGCACAATTCAAGTGTGCTTGGTGTTCAGTCCCAAAGCATTTGGAGAAGGAAGTTGTTCCATTGAAAGATAATCCATTCAGAAGACAGAACAGAGGCTTGCTGTTGCTCTGGACAGCAAAGCAAGTGCCCTTTCATCAGCTTCAAGTACCGGTCAGCAGGCAAAGGTTAAATTGCTCTTTTCAGTTTATGGTGAAGTTGGTTAACTGATTCTTATTGCTTTTGCAGAGAAAAAAAACGTATGGAATAATTGGCAAGTGCTTCTATTTCATGTTTACTGCTTTAATTTGGCAAATAAGTTTACTTTTGTCTGGAGTGCATGAAGTGGCCTGATAAATCTCCACCAGAGGAGATGACAAGTACATGGAAGCACTGAACCTTATCTTGTTGTGCTGTGATTTCTGTACCTTGCAGCCTGTTTTCAATCGGTATCCTCGTGCTCATCTAGATTCTTATTCTTTCTCTCTTATTTATAACAATGGCGAGCGGTCACTTGACCTGGTGAGTGATATTCTGATTCTTATTCGCAGTTCATTCCACAATCCCATGTTGCCACCCACCAATTATCTAGACCACTCTGGTGTCATTGAGCGATATATGATCTCGTACATCATGTGGCTCCAAATAAGAAATCATGTTATCACCATCAGGGGGTCTGCCCCTAGACTGCCCAAGGCAGAAATCAAAGGTATACCGAGGATGCACCTTTCAGAAATCATGTCGGTAGCATCCATTCGACCCTACAGGAGTAGTCATGTCGACGGTCGGCACCCCTGAATTGGTCAACTGCCGACCAGGCGACCGTTCCACCTGTCAGCACCTACTGGTTGGCGGTTGGCACCCCGCATTTTTATTTTTTGTGGGGTCCATAACTCCTGATAACCTCACCAACGCTTCCATACCCGCCTTCACACCCCCCCAACACCCCCATACTGCCCCCCCACACCCTCATACTCCCCCCCATAGCCCTCTATACCCTCCCGTAACCCTCTATACGTCCCATATGAGCCTCGCTCGACCCCACTACACTACACTCACACTTCAGATTTTTCACCGTTCCACGCTACCCTACAATTACGCTAATCGCCACTAATCACTTTTTGACGGAAAGGGGCAATCTCTAGTCCCTACACTTATAGAAATCACTAACGTAAGAATTGGGGGATCCGGGCCACCCGCAGTCCTACCGGCCTGACGGTCCGTATTTCCGTGAAATCTTAAGACTTTAAGACTTCAAGATCGCGCGACGATCCAGGCCGTCTGCCCTGCCGGGCGGCCTCGATTGTCGCGCGATCTTAAAGTCTTAACATCGCGGGACGATCCGACCCATCGGCCCGGTAGGACTGTGGGCGGCCTGGATCGTTGTGCCCATTGAAAAGAGGGGCCATCGTAAAAAAAACGCCTGACACCTGCTGGCCATTGGCCCGTTGCAGTGTGGTGCCCTCACTCTACTCGAGTCCAATGCCTCTACTGGACCTAGCGAAGCCGACAAATGACTTCCCTACATTTCTAGAAATCGCTAACGTGAGAATTGGGGGATCCGGGCCACCCTCTGTCCTACTGGTCCGACGGTCCGGATTTCTGCACGATCTAAAGACTTGCCGGAAAGGGACAATCTCTTGTCCCTACACTTAAAAGAAATCGCTAACGTGAGAATTGGGGGATCCGGGCCACCCGCAGTCCTACCGGCCCGACGGTCCGGATTTCTGTGCGATCTTAAGACTTCAAGACTTTAAGATTGTGTGACGATCCAGGCCGTCCGCCCTGCCAGACGGCCTGGACCGTTGCGCGATCCTAAAGTCTTACGATTGTGGGATGATCCGAGCCATCGGCCCGGTAGGACCGCGGGCGGCCTGCATCGTTGTGCCGATTGAAAAGAGGGGACGTCGTAAAAGAACCACCGTGGCACCTGCTGGCCATTGGCCCGTTGCAGGGCGGCGCGCTCACTCTACTTGAGTCCAACACCTCCACTGGACCTAGCGAAGCCGACAAACGACTCTAGGCGTGCACGCTCCTCAACGCGCTGCATCGTTCAGCCCTCTCGTGCAACTGACGGCTGTTGCTCATGGTTGAAGACACCCTCTCTCCCTCCATCCCTCTCTCTCTCTCTCAGGCATGCCTGCTTTTGTGGAGTTGTGTGAAGCGAACACGGCATGACATGGGTGCATGCGCACACGTAAGTGTGGAAATGCATAGTGGGCAGATTGTCGGGGTTCAAGCTCCTGATGAGTCGGTGAAAGTCCAACGAAACAGTCTGGCTCAGTCATGCTGTTTTTGTGGAGTTGTGTATAGCTAACATGACAACCCACCCACACACGCACGCACAAACGAATGCACGCAAGCACACACGCGCGCAAAAACACAGAGTGAGTGTTTTTTTTTTTTTTTTTTTTTTTTTTTTT